TTGGTGAGGTGTGGTGGTTGGAATGGACACCCAACCATGTCCTTTCCTTAGGATGCGTTGAGTAAGTTTGTTTTGCCAATTGTTTAAAATATATGTTGTTGATATGTTACTGATGAATTATATGAGTTTAATTTCCTTTATTGTATTGTTTGTAGTGACTAAAGACCATCTTGTACGTCCTGTTTATCCTGTCCCTCCATTAACATCTGTTCATTGGCATCATGTGTGTCAGCTCCATGTGAATTAAGACTTTATCATCCTGAACTGAAAATAAAAGAGAGCAAAGGACTGGTATTTTTTCCATGTGTTTTAATCAGACACACCATCAAGTTTCTACAACTCCAACGAACTTTGGATACATTTAACATCTGAGATCCAATATATGGTCCTTCGAGCCGGAGGTAGAAATTTGGTGGAATGGATTACCATGCAAGACCTGCAATCCGGCGCAGCCTAAGAAGCAGAAGACCTCCTGCCCGTTTTGTTGACTGTATGGTGAGAGAATATGGTCCTCCTCCGCCTCCCTCACCAACGCTAGTTGTAAGTGATCATCACCAAACTCAGTATGAAAATCCACCTTTAAGACATTCCCCAAGCTCATCGGCTCCTTGTGAACAGCCTCAACATGATTTGCTCGATATGGATGTTAAACAAGAGATACTTGGACTTAAGGGTATGCTTGGTGAGATGATGTCTAAAATGTCACAGTTAGTAGTTTCTTCCAGACATTCTGAATTTTCTGAGTCTTTTGATGATGCTTCTGATGATGATGATAATGCCTTAGTTAATCCATCTATTGTTCAAGAATTGTGTGCATGTATTAAGACAGCTGAAAAGAAACCTACATGTGAGAAATGTAATTCCTCAACTGTTCCTTCACTGCTTCCATTTAGTAGGCCTAGTTCTCTGCCTCTTCCTCCTTCCTCATTGTTACGTAGTCCACCCCAACAGATGCACACACATGATATAGCATCACAACTACAATTTAGTATGTTACAACCTTCTATTGTTCCATTGGTTCCTGGGCCTTCTAATTGTCAGTCCCCTCAAGTGCAAACATCACCAGTGTTGGTACAACCAACTGGTCCACCACAACCAGTTTTACCATGTAGTTCCTTTTCCTCTGCCATGGTTCATTCTCAGTTATCCTCACAAGTAACATCAGCACAGTTACCTCCACAGCCTCGGTATGCTGTTTCTCAGTATTCACAGCCATTAGGACCATCCTCTAGCTCGGCAATTCCTCATGTAGCCTCAGCTAATGTAGGCCCTCACATGCAATCTGTAGGTCAGGTAGGGAATGATGTTGTACAACCTCCTGCCCCACATATTCAACCAATTGTTCCCACTACCCAGTCAACTGCAATTCCATTCCTTCATCCTTATCCATATTCCCAACCATATTATGCATCATATCCTGTTCCTTCCTATCCTACTTCTCGTGTTCAGGGACCTACCTTTCCTTTCCTGGTTAATGATGATCCCCAAGAATTTGCAATGTTGCAGCTAGCATTGACAAATTTGTTGTCACCCCATGAGCCAGAACATTACAAATTCCATATCTTGTTAGATCATTTAAAATTTTCTCCAGCTCGTGATCTAGCTTTAGCTTATGCTAACGATCCTAGGCCTTACAGTATGGCTCTTTTTGCACTACAGCAGAAATATGGGCAACCTCACCAACTAGTTTTGAGAGAAATCAAAGCCATTCTAGCTCTCCCCAGGGTGAGACCAGGTGACAGCAGAGCATTTAGTAGCTTCGCATTAAAGGTTCGAGCTTTGGTTGGCATGCTCCAATCTTCGGGCCAAGACCAAGTTAAATCTGAATTATCCTGTGCTTCTCATGTACAGCAACTACTCAGTAAACTGCCCACAGAGCATGTGACCAACTTTGCCCGTTATGCCCGTACAATCCTAAAGGGTCAAAGCTACAACCTGATTAGCTTTTCCGCTTGGCTCCAAGAAGAAGCTGAGTGTCAAGCAATGGCTGATCAGGTTAGTGACTTTCCAAAACCATTCCTGAGTAAACCTCAACCAAAGACTTCCATTAACACTCGAACAGTCTTGTACGGAGTTAACAGTAATTCTGTTGTGCCAAGATCCATTAATAAGCAACCCCAGAATGTGAGAGATGGAGAATGGAGTTCCAAATATTCATGCGCCTATTGTTCCAGTAGAGATCATTTCATTGGCCTGTGCCCCTCTTTTAAATCTCTAGAAGATACCAGGAAGGATGCATGGATTAGAGAGAACAAAAGATGTTGGAGATGCGGGCTTAACCATCTAGCTGTCAACTGTGACTTGAAGAAACCCTGTCCACAGTGCAAAGGCAGACATCTTGGTATCCTTCATGGAGTTAATTGTCGTGACCAAGATAACGGTACATTCTATCTTAGTCGCCTTGGAGGTTCTGGTAGGGTCTTGCTTAAAGTTGTTGAAGTACTTCTCCATTATAAAGGAAGATCCTTGCAAACCTATGCCATCTTAGATGATGGATCAGAACGTACCATGTTGCTACCTCAAGCATCTGAGTCTTTGGGCCTCAATGGGGTACCTGAGTCCCTAATTGTTAGAACTGTACGTCAAGATACCCTTGCACTTGAAGGTTCTTCTGTAACCTTTGAAATATCTTCCATGACCAATCCAGAAAAGAAGTATTCCATTTCCAATGCCTTTTCTGCTGCTAGATTGGGACTGGCAGAACAGACGTATCCTGTTGAGATCTTGCAGAGACGTTTCAGACATCTTCGAGACTTACCCCTTCCAGCCTTCTCTAAAGTCCAACCACTTGTTCTTATCGGTGCAGACTATCCACACCTGATAAATCCCATTGATCAGGTGTATTTCGGGCCTCCTAAATCTCCAGCTGCAATACAGACCAGGTTAGGATGGGTACTTCAAGGCCCAATACCGATTCCTAACACTGATGAGACTCAGTGTCTTTTTACCATCGCTAATCCCCTAGAAGAACTTCGCCATGATGTGGAGAAATTATGGAAAGTAGACATCCTTCCTTTCAGGAATGAGAAAGTCATTACTAGGTCTAAGCAAGATCAGGCAGCTATGGAATTGTTGGCCTCTAAGTCTAAAAAAGTTGATGTGGATGGTGTGAAAAGATATGCCACTCCGTTATTGCGCGCTTCTTCCGCCATAAAGCTGCGGACCACACCAAATGCAGTTATGTCTTCTCTCAGATGTATCGAACGACGCCTCCAGAGAAATCCTAAAACTGCTGCTGTGTACAACCAAGAGATTGCTAAGTTGGAGGAATCCGGTTATGTTTCCAAAGTGGAACTTCCCCATGACTCATCTGATGAATCGTGGTATATTCCTCATCATATTGTGGAGCATAACGGAAAAAAGAGAATAGTCTTCAATTGTTCCTATCAATATAAAGGTGTGTCACTTAACAGTCAACTTCTTCCTGGTCCACAGTTGGGCCCTTCCTTACTTGGTGTCCTACTCCGGTTTCGTCAGTGCCCAGTGGCCATTAGTGGGGATATAAAATCCATGTTCCATCAAGTTAGGCTATTACCAGAAGACCGTTCTCTCCTACGCTTCCTGTGGCGCAATATGCAGAGCACAAATCCACCTGACATCTACGAATGGCAAGTTTTGCCCTTTGGCACGGTATGTAGTCCATGTTGCGCAACATATGCTCTACAAAGGCATGTCCATGATCACCAAGAAGGGTATGAAGATATAGCGAGCTCTGTACTTCAGTCATTCTATGTTGACAACTGCTTAGAGAGTTTCCCAAATGTGCAATCTGCTAAGAACTTCTTAGACCGAATGCGTTCTTTACTGATGAGTGGAGGATTTGAAATTAGACAGTGGGCAAGTAACCAGCCTGGTGTTGTCCGACATCTCCCTCCTGAAGCCAGGTCTGAGAATGCTGAACTGTGGATCAATCAAGACAGTTTAGATCCCAAAGAAGGAGCTCTGGGTCTGAGTTGGCACTGTCCCTCTGATTCATTAGGGTATCGATCCCGAACAGTGGAGTATGAGACAACAACTCTGCGTAATATATATAAAGTTCTTGCCAGTCAGTATGACCCATTGGGTTACATAACCCCCTTTACAACGCGAGCTAAAGTCATCATACAACAATGCTGGATGAAGTCCCGGGGCTGGGATGATCCCCTTATGCCAAATCCTATTCAACAGGCCTGGAAGGCTTGGGAAACTGAGCTCCCTGACCTGTCATTAATACAGCTTCCACGTTGTTATCTAAGTTTACCTTCCGACCAAATCACATCCAGAGAGTTGCATGTATTTTGCGACGCCTCAGAGAGCGCATACGGGTCTGTAGCCTATTTGCGAATGGGAACTGACAAGGGTGTGGTACATACTTCCTTCATCATGGCAAGATCTCGAGTTGCCCCAAAAAAGCAAATATCCATCCCTCGCCTTGAACTTTGCGCTGCTCTAACAGGTGCACAGCTTTGTAAACTCCTGCAGAATGAATTGACTCATCCTTTGACAAATATTGTCTTATGGTCCGACTCGACAACTGTCTTGTCTTGGCTGCATTCCCTCTCCTGCCGTTACAAAGTTTTTGTAGCTAATAGAGTCACTGAAATATTAGAGCTCACTGATCCCTCTTCTTGGAGATATATTCCATCTGCACAGAATCCAGCAGATGACATTACAAGAGGCAAAACTCTTGTAGAGCTAGCCAAACCTGATCATAGATGGCGACAAGGTCCAACGTTTCTGAAATTTCCTCCAGATGAATGGCCCAAAAATCTAGTATCTACATCTGATAGTCCTGATCCTGAGCTTCGTAAACCACTCTTTTGTGGGTTAACACAATTGGATGATATTGTACTCCCAGATCCTGCCCGTTTTAAATCATGGTCAGAGTTACAGTTTGCAACAAATGTGTTACTGCGACAACATAGTGAGGACTCTTGTGACGCCTCTTCTGTCCAAAATCTCCTTTTGAGACAAGCCCAGCAACAAAGTTTTCCCTCCGAGTATCAGTGTTTAAGGAAAGGAAAGCCCATTGAACCTCAAAGTTGTCTCCTAACACTTTCTCCCGAATTCAATGAAGAAACGGGACTTATTGTAGTGGGCGGTAAGCTCAGGCGTGTAGAGGATATGGAACCTGGAATGGTTCATCCAATCGTCCTCGACCCCAAACATCCATTGACCCAGTTAATTATTAAGGACTGTGACGAGAAACTTTTCCATCCTGGTCCAGAGAGAGTTTTCTCAGAACTTCGACGTAATTACTGGATAATTAGAGGGAGACAAGCCGTAAAAAAACATCAGTGGTCTTGTTTTCAATGTAGGAAGTGGAGAGCCAAGCCATCTATTCCTCAAATGTCAGATCTTCCACTCTCCAAGCTCCGGTTGTTCAAACCTCCCTTTTGGTCCACCGGAATGGACTGTTTTGGTCCCTTCCATGTAAATATTGGCCGTAGAACAGAGAAGAGATGGGGCATTCTGTTTAAGTGTCAGACCACTCGATGCCTGCACCTTGATTTGTTGAGCAGTTTAGATGTGGACAGCTTTCTAATGGGCCTACGTCGTTTCATATCCAGGAGAGGTAGGCCGTATGAGATTCTTTGTGATCAGGGAAGCAATTTCCGTGGAGCTGCAAGAGAGTTAAAGGAAGCCTTCCAGAACCTTCCCACTGAGCTACAAGACAAATTGGAAAAGCAGCAGATCAAATTTAAGTTTAATCCACCACAAGCTCCTCATTTTGGGGGATCATGGGAAAGAGAGGTCCGTTCTGTTAAAACAGCATTGCGGGTGGTACTCGGCAGTCAAACCGTATCAGAGGAAGTCCTACGGACCGTTTTGACAGAAGTTGAAGGAGTGTTAAATTCAAAGCCACTTGGTTACGCCTCTTCAAACATTTCAGACCTCGACCCCATTACTCCAAATCTCCTCCTCATGGGGCGGCGAGATTCGTCTTTACCTCAGGTGATTTATGCCAATACTAAGCTCCTTGGCCGCAGATCTTGGCGCCACAGCCAGGCCCTCGTTGACCAGTTTTGGACATCTTTTATCCGACATTACTTACCAGGTCAGCAGCTCTGTCAAAAATGGAATCGAGAAAAACCTAATCTAAATGACTCTGCTGTCGTGTTAGTAATTGATTTTCAACTCCCAAGAGCATCATGGCCCATTGGCAGGGTAGTACGCCTCTTACCTAGTCAGGATGGACGTGTCAGAGTAGCTGAGATTGATATTAATGGAAAGACGTATGTACGTCCAGTTGCTAAGTTGATTCCATTACCTGAAATAGATGAGTAATAGCAAATACATGACTGTATTTGGGGGCGGCTGTTGTGAATTTGATCCTTTAATTATACTTTTTATTTATTTTTTTTTCTTTCTCCTTACATATTTGCACTTCATATCCCACAATCCTTTTGTCAGTTTCACTACATTACCCATACACCCCCTGGGCAAGGTCTATAAGTAGACCTCACTTCCTCCCTTTTTTCCTTTGTATTGGTGAGGTGTGGTGGTTGGAATGGACACCCAACCATGTCCTTTCCTTAGGATGCGTTGAGTAAGTTTGTTTTGCCAATTGTTTAAAATATATGTTGTTGATATGTTACTGATGAATTATATGAGTTTAATTTCCTTTATTGTATTGTTTGTAGTGACTAAAGACCATCTTGTACGTCCTGTTTATCCTGTCCCTCCATTAACATCTGTTCATTGGCATCATGTGTGTCAGCTCCATGTGAATTAAGACTTTATCATCCTGAACTGAAAATAAAAGAGAGCAAAGGACTGGTATTTTTTCCATGTGTTTTAATCAGACACACCATCAAGTTTCTACAACTCCAACGAACTTTGGATACATTTAACATCTGAGATCCAATAGTATTAGGTGGATAGTTTTTCTTTGTAAAAACCTTACACGTTTGAATTCAACAAAGAATTGCCTGTGAAAAACCCTTTGACTCAATGCTTACAGAGATAGTTCACCAAAAATTAACATTCTGTCATCTTTTACTCCCCCTCTTGTCATTCTGTCAAACATAAAAGAAAATATTCTGAAGAATGTTTTTCTCTATAAAATGGACCCTATTGATTTTCATTGTGTGGACCAAACCACCACAAAAACCAAACACTGCAACACATTTATACAAGAAAACATACAGGTTGAGAATGACATGAGCAGTTTTCACATGGCATGAGCAAAAAAGGTATAACTATATTACGACAAAACATAGTAAATATGACATTTTGTCATAACAGTAGAAATAAATGTGTTTAACATTATTTTCATAACAAATGACACATTTTCAATGTAGAAACCAAACAGATGATTTGACCTAGTCGTATTACAAATAGCCTTAGACTATGGATACAATACGAGAACTGTGTTAATTTTTCATAAGGACAAAGAAGAAATAAAGAGCTTTAAAGGCTGGACCTCAATGAATTATGGAGGAAGCTGTCAGTTTTCCTCTGGAGTAAAATATGTTCTGTTCTAATGATCTTTGATTGCAGGAAAAAAATAACTTTCTTTGTGTGCCTTCAAAGATTTCAACAGGTACATCAATAATTAAAAACCAGATGAAAGGGGGGAAAAAAAATAACTGTTAAGGAGTCCCAACTCACTGTCAGAATATTTGAACTAAGACATATATAAATTAGGTGTCAATTAATGTATAATTATTGAAGAAATTGTTGTTAATAACTGATAAGTAAGTACATTTAAAATTGGTGCTATACTGTGTATAACTGTTAATTTCTATGGAATACAACAGGCAACATTGTTGGAAACTGCACTTATTGGTACAATACTATAATAAAAAAAAAATCATTATTTTAGGTAAAATGTTCTGTTAAATCCCAGCTCTGCCACAGCATGTGCTATGTGTGTGCGTGAAGTCAATGACTGTGCCTGTTTGCAAATGATGAGGCTCCTAAAGAGCACATTTGTTATGCGAATGTGAGTAGGATCTGAAAAAAGTGTGTTTTCACTTTTACAGATGATTGGTGGTTGTGTGGAACAATTTGTTATGGAAATTTGTCAATGTGAGTTGTGTGTGGGAAACCTAAATCAAAGCTAATTACAGTCTGATGTTTTTTTTTATTACAGCTGCACCAAATAGAGATGCCAAATAAAAGGCCAAGTCTAAACCCAAGAGTAATTAGTCACATTTAGTAGGTACTAATGGACTGTCAGTGAATCCAGAGTTCACAGTCGCTATCACGATGCAATGCCAGGCAAGGACCTCATGCTGTGACTGGCTCTTAGCTCATGTGGGCGTGGCCTCTATGCAACGAAATCTCTTTGCTTTGAAATCAAAGCAAAATCTGAAATTAAATCTCTCCATTGTTTCTCCAAGACGGTAATGAGATTAAATGGAGAGCGGATTGAGCAAAGATTATGAAAGAATTCTGCAATCAAGTCAGAGATCTTGATATGAACTCAAATACCTACTAGATATGCCATCCATCCTACTAGATATGCCATCAAATATATCATCACATTTGTTTCTATTTTTATTTCTCCCAAGGAATTTTATGAGAAATATCTAAGACCTGAATGTGTAACTGACTATTTCATTAAATCTCCTGAGCTATGAAAGAGCAATAAAACTGTACGTTTTGCTGCTGATAAAAAAAATCTATTTCATGCAAGGAATCCATCACACTGAAAAAAATAATATGCTTTATCTAATCAATAAAATTGTGGAAACATATTACAAGCAATATTATTAATTAAATTGTACAAATTAGAATTAATTAGAATATTAATTTGATTAACTATTACTCAATTCTAATTTGTTCAATTTCATAAATAATATTGCTTGTAATCTGTTGCCACAATTTTATTGATTAGATAAGGCATATTCATTTTTACAGTGCAGAAACATTTCATAAAATATAAAAATGTCTTAAATGTAAATCAGGCGGCCTTGCACATGCTGGCACATGTCTAGGACATATCGGTGTCATCATAAAAAATGTAAATATCAGCTCTTATCATGAAACACATCAGCTTCATCATTTAAAGTCCATCTCCACCCTTATCCTTTCTCACTTTCCAGTTTTCCTGCACACACACAAACATATTTCTAGAGATAGTATTAGAGGAAGGAGATGAACCACTCTGAGAAAAACAAAAGAAAGTAATCATTACACAGAATATGGCTATCAAACAAGATGAACTTGGAGACAGAGGAAAGTAGATGAGGAGGAGATGAAGCATCAGTGGGCTCTAATAGAGAATCGTTGTGTGTGTGTGTGCTAATTCCCACAGGAAATGCTTAATGAAAGACTGACAGCACTGATAATGTTCTGTAGTGGTGAGATAGGAGGAGAGCTAACCATTTCAAATCGTTGGAACTGTACATGTTCATAAATTACAAATAACAATTTCTTCATTCTGTCCCACTTTGAGTAGGGCAAGCACGCATAGACACACTCTTAAGAGTCAAATATCTCTATGCAAACCCTTCATCAGAAGTCGAATTCAAGAGTTTACTACATCAGAGAAATCAGAGCTACTGAAAACATGCAGTAAACAACGCTGACTGTTCATTGCTTTCAACAGAAAAGCTCTAAACAGGTTGCTAGGTGGAGTTCTAGATGGTTACTAAGGCTACGTCTACATTAATCCGGATATATCTGACAACAGGGTTTTTGTTTCAAAACGATCTCCATCCACACTAGCATTTTCCAAAAGTTTCTCATCCATACTGAAACGTTGGATGATGTTAAATTCACCTTACTGCGAATGCGTTATATAAAAGACATTATAAAGTTATCATGCTATTCTTCCGGCAGGATCATTTTATTTAGTAAAATATCTCACCATTCACTGATGCGTCCATGTCGCACTCAGTCACCATTCTATGGTTGATCTAAAACGCAACTGTACTCATGTTTTGCTGCAGGATTGCAAACATATTGATATCGCACACCCCTAGTTCAACTAACAAGAATTTAATATTACGTAACTTATAGACATTTTAGACACGGTATTGCCAGTTTTTATTGTCCAAGAATAAAAAGAAAGAATCTACTGTTGCACTGCTCCCAGCAGTATCACACAGTATTGGCATTTTATTCAAGAGAAAAACAGTTTTTGTAAATGACTGAGTGAATGACTCAATCATCCAAAATCAAATACCGTGTGTGTACTGTAGGTACTACTTTGCGAAAAAAAGTATGTTATAGTATGAATTTATGTTGTATGAATGAATTCTGAATTTACTATTATATCCGCTATATTATATGCCACACTAATCCAGATTGTGGTAATTAACATTATGCAACACAAATACTGTCATTGAACTCAATTTACTGTTCCTATTCCTTTTTTTGGATATTTCTTTCTGTCAGTCTGGTGTGTGTGATGCCGGTAAAGGCAGGTCACTAAAATCAACAGATTCTTTTCATGGCTTTCATTGCCCATAAGCAGTTGTTTTCAATCATGTATAATTGTCTGCAATGATCTGTAGCTGAGAAATACTTCACTGAAACTGGCTGCAGTTGAAACAAGCATTCCTTCCAAAGCAGTTTCTTTTTGAAAACGCTTTTTAAAATATTTTACTACAGTATAATCATAAGCCTTTGTCTTCTTTGTTCTGAAAAAAAGTCCATCTTGGCTTGTTTACATCCAGTCAGGAAGTAGGATGTGCTGTTTCCTCATTTTGTTTATAGGAGGACAATTTCATACAGTCTTTTTATGGTGCTGGTGCTTCTAAACACTTTCTGTGATATTTACCAAGTTTTTACATGTTTTATAGCATTCGTAACTATTTCGTAATAGTCAAATTTGATATTATAGATCTTTAAAAACATCACCTGACAATGCTATTACACAGTCTTAGTAAACACTCACAGGTCACATAACTTAATATTTTAAAGTAACACTTTGTAGTTTTTCAACCTTCATAATATATTTCCAAGACCCTTGTGATGGTACATCAACTTACAATAGGTTAAATGACACGTCTTAAAATGCTGAAAAAGTGGGCAGACCCCAGCGGAGATAGAGGAGACGAAATAGATGCTAAAACACTCTATCCTGATCATTTTCAATACTCGCAATTCCAACTCCTGACTTCCTTCAGTGGTTTTGACAACACAAGATGGTTTTTATACTGCCAAGGGCGTAGCTTGCGTGGTGAGCTGAAACCTGCGTACGTCACGAAGTGCGGAACATCCAATAGGAAAATTCAACTGCAGTAGCCACCGTTCAACCTGAAGAGGGCAGCACTAAGATGTTCTTACACCACATATTGTAGAAATAGAACACTTTATAAACAAATGTCAAATGTCAAATTAATAAAGATCCATTCTTACAGATCATTAACTAAAAAAAGTTGGTTAAGTGTTTAGTTACTCTTTAATGTATTCCTTGCAAATTTTTTAGCTTTTTATTATTTGACAGTATTATTTTTGTAAAGCACAACGTTTACATTCAGGGGTTGAATGAGAAATAATTAGTGTTTCAAACAGCAGAAATATAAAATGGTTAAAACAAATTCTACATATTGATTAACAGACACTATTGGATCATCTAAACATAAAAATTATCAGTCATAAAAGAAATAATTTTAGGCTCAATATTGGTTTGTTCAGTTAAATTGTAAGTGTAAGGGAGAGAGGCTGGAAAATGGCTATCCATCCATTGATTTTCCAAACCACTTGTATGATCCAATGTAAGATCATAGTGGCCAGTTGGAGAATCATAAAAAATTACGTTAAATTTTGGTGCAAAAAAACTTGAATGGAAAATTGTTGCATGGAACTGTTTTTATAAGATA